CCTACAGAGATCAGGCTGGCGCAAGGCAATAACACAAGGAAAGAGCGTGAAGAGGAGCTGACATGGGCTGACGCCATGGTCAAGTCCACTTGCCAGCTACTGTCACAGAAAAAAACAATCTCTCTGTCTTCTCAATTCACAAGCTTTTCCACCCTGTTTTCTCTCCTGTCTCGCTGAGCAAGGGGAGTGGGAAGCGGCTGGGTGAATGTCTGGCAGCCAGCCATGGCTAACCCACGGCAGAAGCCAGTGAGAAAGCCACTTTTTGAATTACACAGTGAATACACTTGAATGTGTTTTAAAGCTAATCATAACCACAATCAGACTGTCTCATTGTCAGTGTACAACTTCAAGATGTATTTGGGCATCTGAGAGGCTACTGACAACTACAACCAAGTCAGCACTTTTTCAGCCAAAGAACAACCAGCACGGGAATTGAAAATCAGTTTAACTCTCCAACTATTAAACCACAGACAAGTTGTATGATAGAAACAAGCATCCAAAGAGTACAGAAGGCAGAGCAGGTGACACTGAACGAGTGTAGCACTATCTCTCTTCTTAAGTAACTTGTCTACAGTGAACAAACTCTGCTTCCAACAATGGCAGATGACCACCTCTGGATACAACCTCAAGTTGTGCAATTTAGGTGGCTTCCAGCTGTTCTTACCACCATGTACTCTTACTGTATTTGGCAAGTGCTCCATATCTTGAAACACATGGGTTCTTTAACAGGTATTAAACGTCCAACTAAAATCTTAGCATAAATAATTTGCAACTGTAAGAATCAATATTTGGTGGGCATAAATCCTAGACATTCTTTTGAAAAGCTACAGATGCTTTTATCCTACTAGCACTTCCTTCATCACCACCTCCTAGGGCAGATGTGATGTCTCAGGCTGCTTTTTACTATATCCTTATTCTGTACAACCATTTAAAATGAATGCATTCTTCTCAAAATTGTTACATTAATTACTACTTCCTTTAATTAAAGTTTCAAAAGCACAGAATTACTGCAAACACAGGTCTACTATTCAGTGAGTAAATGTTTAACATACAAGAGATCAGAAAAACTCCTAAGCCCCAAGACCAACACTATAATACACCCTCACATCCATCTCTCTTCTCATGCCCAGCAGTTAAGACATACATGTTCTGCACGCACTAAAAGAGTAGATGCTACATTCATAAAAGTGAATTGCCTGGAGGGAGGAAAAAACAAAGGCACTGTTTTTGAAGGGAAGTAAGTAGCTCCTGTTCACCATCACTCAAACACAGAATGTCATTTGACCTTGCAGTGATCTGTGAAAGACAGCAGAGGCCATTCTAGCAGCAGGAACACCACATTTTTAAACTCAGGTGATCAATCTTTACAATACACCATATGCAAACGTATATATACACTTATAACTGGTAACCAATTTGAAGTCTACACGTGGACTAACTCACCATTTATTGCTTTGCCTAGCCCATAAAGATAAACCTGCCTTCTCAAGATATTCCAAGAGCTGTCACATCCCCAGCTGCAGATCTCCAATAGCAGACTAAGAAAACTTGTTACAGAAACAAACCCACTGGATTTCTGTCCCTTCCCCCACCTCACATAATGAAAACAAGTGTCATCAGCTGCACCCTCCCCATGCCAGCTGTTAGGAAGCTGCCTGTGAAGCCCATGAGTACCCCAAGAAGGTAGTGCTCCACAAACTGTTGTGACCTTGCTGCTGTTCACATTTTGCTTGTGACACCATTAAATAATCTTTCAGATCCACGTGTGTCATGCTACCAATAAGGCTCAAGTACAAGAACGCAGGGCAAACCACACAGCCAGGGCTCCAGAGGCAGAGGGGTGCAGGCTACTATTTTTAGGGAGTGCCAATAATATCTTTTTGATGTCCATTATTATCAATAGATGATATTGGACAGTGGAGAGAAGCCTGACTAGAGGTGGCACAGTTTACTGAAAGTAATAAATACCTGTCATTTCATTTTAAAGTGTGCTGGTTTCACTTTCCACAGGCATCTGTTGGACACACATGGCCTAACTGAATGACTGCATGCCCCAGAGGTAAAACACATCTAGATGAACACTTTCATAGTCTTAAAAGAGCTATTAACCAAGTGTGCATTTCAAAGGCTGGTCTAGATTAATAAGCAAATGGATTAAAATGCTGCATGCCCTTCACTGCAGTTATTTAAATTCCTGCAGCACATGGCAAACTGCTGTCTTTATAGAGGTATAAGCGTTTCATAAACAGTTACATGTATACAAGAAGACGGAAAGACTAGGTCAATCATATACATTCCAAAAATAGTAATTTAATTTTTCAGACAGGCACTGAGACTGTAAGAAGCTGAATTTATTTCGCACGGGCAGCAAACTTTGTCATTAAAGTCACTGATTAAACAAGAAGCACCTATCTAAAAAAAATTCCAGCGGGATGCAAACAAGACAGCACACTTGTTTTCAAAGAATGCACTCCCATTGAACCAAAAAGCAGGAACAATATGCAAATTAGAAAAGAGAATAAAACTGAAGGCCACAAATTAAATATGCCCCAAGAAGTGTCCTTGCCTGTTACATTTTAAGATAACCAGAATTAATTTGCATCTATTACTGAAAAACTGGTAATTCCCCTGTGTAAATAGAATACTTCAGTAAGCACCTAGCTTTGTAAGGGAACTGTAAGATTTTCAACAAAACTAAGACTTCTAAATACATATATCTATAGATAACTAGAGTACAACTAGCAAAACAGAACACTTTTCAGTAATAAATACAGTTTAATAAGAGTTATCAAGTTACTGTTATGCTCCCAGATCAAGCAGAATCTATAGCAAGTAGTTGCCATTAAAGAATTAAACATATCTTGACAGAAGAAAAATTCCTTCAGCTTAAAAATAAGTGCTTAAACTTCTGCTTCCTTGTAGGATGCTCCTGTTTGCTACAAAATACTTTTCCCATGGACAGCTTCCTTAAAAAAAAATATCTAACATGGCAATAACAGGATCTTAGTAGCTGTCATCCCTTCAATAAATACCTGCATAGAGCTAATTAACTTCCACTGCTTTAGACAGATTACAAACCTTGCAAAAGAGCTTCTCGACTCTTTCCCAGTAAGAAAGATGAAGGAGGCGACTCCTATGCTGGAAATTATAGTGCACAGATGATATCTCAAGGTTAAACCTTCACCTACTTGCTTTCTAATTAATCACTACTTTCTGTTAATCTTATCTCAAATTAGATGTTTTTCTACCAGTTTTGCTACCTTACATTTCTAGTGCTTACAGATAAACATATATTAAATACTCTAGGTTAATACAAGTTCGAAAGGAATGAGGGGACTGGGGAGGAGGGAAAAGCAACATAGAAAATTTGTTCTTGAATCTTAAAGACCATTCTGACAAATGGGCAAAAGTAAAACATTCATCCAATAATTCACCAATCAGAATTGCTGATAAATTCAACACAGTATTAAACCACTTCATTTGACCCCAAACAAAAGGAAGACACTGTACCAAGAGGCACAATCTAAAGTTTTCTGAAACTAATGGAAAAGAAACATCAGCAACCTTTGCAACAGTCTGAAGTTAGTGTCAGAGTACGCTTGTGACATAACCTTTTAATATTCCTGCCCTAAACACAAATAATCAAGAATTGAAACACTCTAAATTCCTGCAGTTTCCATCAAATTAACTGAAATCTCTGCACCTACTGTTCAGAATATCCACTATCTTTGCAAGCTGTAGCACAAAGATAATGTAATTCCATTCTTTTGCAGGAAGCACTGAATAATTTAAAAAAAAATAAAAAGGCTTCAACGAGGTGAATGTGTTATACACAGAAATTAATAACTTAATCACAGTACAGAAAAAAGGAACAATGTCTTCTTTCACCTTCTAGGGATGAACATTAGCCTACTTGTAGAGATTCGGGCAGCTGCTGAGAACGTCTTAGTAGCTCTTGTATTTGCAAGAAAAACCCTGTCAGTCGAAAGCAAAACAATCCCGCTATTTACATATGTCAACTAACCATATACACATTATACAGTCACGTTTTGCAATCCCAACACTAAAACATAAACCCAAACTTCCGAAGCAAAAAAATTACTCCAACAGCACTACTTTGCACTTGCAATGGCAGAGCCAAATCACAGACCTCCACTGTGATCAATTGCTTCAATAAATCAAAACATGACAAAATATTTGTAGAAGCTCTGCCAGAAGGTGATATAGTTGGTAGTATTTCCAAACCCTGAAAAGAGCATCCAAAAGAGCCAGTACCTTGCCTCACCTGCCCAAAAGCAATGTTCACACGGCTCTAAAGCCAATTCACCAGTTTTCCTCCTCCAGTTTGACAGCCTTGACGGGGGGGAAGTCAGCCCATCGCTCACAGATAGGTGTCTCTCCTGGAACAACCTAACTCCAAGCACTAACCTATCAACGCATCCCTGCCAACCCGCAGGAACTAGGCTCTAATTAATCCAGAGACAGCGAAGTGGTGGGGGAAAAAAAGGCAAAATAGGACTCGACCCATTTGTTGCGGTCTAAATTTAAAGTGAAAAAGCATCAAGAGAAGCACGCTTCTGCCTAAGGGTATACTAACAAACCGGGGAGGGAAACGAAAGCCCGAAACATGGAAACGGATTATGTAGGTTAAGCTCAGCTTTTATCATCCGCTGCAAGGTCCAGCTAAGGCAGCGCTGAGCCCCCGGCCGGCCCGATGCCGCTGACGCCTAATCGGCCTCTCCACCGGGCCGGCCCCGCACCCTCTCCGGGCGCCACGTCCCCCCTCTGGGAGCCGGGTGTGGGGAAGGGGCCGCGCAGCTTCCCGCCCGCAGTGGGGAGGGAGACATTTCCTCAGGCGTTCCCGTGGGGACCCGGGAGGGAGCCAGCCGGGCCGGGCCGGGCCGGGGGAGGGGAAGCGGCGCGGGGCCCATGTGCCTCCCCCCGGCCCTGGCCCCGGCCCCAGTCCCATTCCTTTCCCTTCCCTCCTCAGCGCTCCTTACCCGCCTTGTAGCCGCGCAAGCCGGGCTGGGGGTGCAGCCCGCCCCACATGGTGCCGCGCCGGGCCGGGCCGTGCCGGGGGACCGCCGCTCTCGGGCGGGCGGGCGGCCCGGAGGGGCGGCGGAGGCGGCCGCTCCCGCTGCCCGGGGAGCTCAGCGAGGCGCTGCCGCCGCGGCGGGAGCTGCTGCCCGCCCCAGAGGCGCCGCGGCCATGGTGCCGGCACTGCCGAGGGCCGTGGGACCTCGCCGCCCCCTCGTAGGAGACAAAACTTGCTCTATTGCGCTGCCGCTGCCGCCTCCTGCCTCTCTAGCGCTGGGAGCGGGGCGGAGACAGGGGCGGGAACGCCGCAGATGCTGCTGCGGCTGCCGCTGCTTCGGGGGCGCCCGCTTACATAACCCGGCCCACGGGGCGAGCGGCGGCGAGGGGCTGCGGCGGGGGGCGAGTCCGGCCGGCCCAGCCCCGCACAGCCCGCAACATCCCGTCCGCCCCGGCCCCAGAGCCCTCTGCTGGGGCCGCAGAGGAGGTTCGGGGGCTCCCGTTGGGCTCGGGCTTCTTCGCTCGCTCCCTCGTCCGCCCGCGGGACCCGCGCGTCCCGCCCGCTCGGGAAGGGCCGGTGGGCAGCGGCGTGTGGCTGTCACCGGGCAAGGCGCCGAACTGACAGCACTCGGCGTGGTGTGAAGGCAGTCGGTAAAGGAGGGTGAAACGCCTGACTCCGGAGTTGCGGCACTGGAAATACCCAAGGCCACTACGCGCGGACTTTACTAAGTAGAGTTCATAATAAAATCACAATTTTCCTCTACTTTTTTTTTGTTTTAGTAAGAAATCGAAGTGGAAATAAAGAAGAATGGTAACATTCGTTTGAACGATCAGTTCCACCAAAAGCATCATAAAAGTTGAAGCCACGGGACTGGGAACAAAACGCTCCTGTCAGCAATAATTCAAACCCAGTAAAAGGCCCCCTCCAGCCCCAAGCTGCTTTGAGTCTGCTCCAAACACTTCAAGAGATATTTGTGCAATAGCAACCTTCGTGTTACTGTTGCTTGCGTCTGCCAGCCCAGTGTCCCCATTGTAAACTACCTTCTGAACAAGTGTTCAGCAGTCTCCATCATCAGATAAAAACGTAAAGAGGAGGAGAAAGCACTCAAACAGCTTCTAACTTCAGCATAACTATCCCAAAATTACAAAGCCCGCCACCACCAAGAAAAGCAATGCTTTGGACAGCATTGCAGAGTATGATGGGCATGACAGCTTGGGGAGGTGAGGTGAAACACGATCAGTTCTGTATTCACGGGTAAACATTCACAATCAATAAATAAAATTGTGTTAAAACAGTTCCTGCTGACCCAATGCATTTTTAATTAGTAGCTGATGATTACAGAATAGCTTTTATCTCTTTGGAAAGTTATATGTTATATTTCTGCATAAGTCATGTTTTATTTATGCCTAGCTTGGTATTCATAATGTAAAAGAGAGACCTCAGAAGTACTGGCATGAGCATGTAGAAATGCTGCATGTTGTTATTTCTTCCTGTTTCTTGTCTGTATAAAGCCCTTATGCACTCACTGAAGACCTGACATGATGTGCATTCCTCACCAGCTTGTTTTAGCTACAGAGTGCAACTGTCCTTGGGTGTTTTGTAGGTAGAGTTGTAGAAACAAGGTCTTTAAAAAGTTAGCAAATATTGAATAAAAAAACCAAATACTAAAACTGCAGGAGATCCTGTCAAAACTTTCACAGTGTAGCCTGAAGTCCTCTGAATGATAAAAGATCAGACACATTTTCAAGAACCCACAAACACTGACTTACAGCAGAACACCAATGCAGGAAACTAAATAATTGTTGATAACACCTTAATGAAATTGTTCAGCCTTTCAACCCTGAAGCCAGCTTCAATATTGAAGAATGTTTGCAAGAGAGACTATAGTAGATAAACATGACTATAAGAAGGAAGAATAAAAGCTAAAGTATCTAGCAAAACACTCAAGACCAAGAAACATGTAAACAGCTTAGTTCAAGACCTCTTTAAAGGACTTGTCTGCATGTAATATTTGTTGCATACTATTTTGTTGGATGAACTTGAATACTTAGCATATTTAAAGGAGGATGCAGTGAGCTATAAGGAAGCTGAATATCAAGAAAGGAAAGGCGTCTAGCTACAGGCAAGAAGAAAAATTGCCTCAGGGCTGCTGAGCTCTGGAGTTTGTGATGCTGTCCTGTAATGCAGTTGCAGGAACCCAGAGCCTTATCATGACCACAGAATGCTGCATGCCTGGAAAAGGTGTGATAACTGTTCTTCTATCCCCTAATAAGTGTCACTGCAGTGTTTTTATGTACTTTGGTATTGCCGTTCATGGAAGCCTTACAGTTTCCTATCTGTCTCCTGTCTACGTGTGAACAACACCACAGAGGAAAAAAAAGAACAGATGAAAAGGCCAAGATGAGGGTAGCAGAACACAACCAGGCAGTCTGGCTGAATCACCTCCAACTGCAGGGCTGTGCCTTCCAAGGTGTCCCTGCTGGGGCATCTGTGCTTTGACGGTGCTACTGCTCAGAGCAGAAAGAAAAAAAACATGCTTGAATGCAAGCAGTAAGATAACAGAACCTGAGACGCATCTATCATTTTGATTGGATTTTAAGTTATTTTTATAGAAACTGAATGTAATTAGTAAAGCTTTTTCACCGCAAATGATATCAGTGTATCTGTCTGGAAACTAGGCCAAATTGAAGCCAGTAGTTTTACTCTATAAATAAGTTTTAGCTTGTTAATACTTAATTCTCTATCCAGCAATGTTTTGTGTCTGCAGTCTGCTTGTGTACACAGTTCTAGACCAGGTGGAGTATTTGCTTTAGATTTTCCAAAACCTCTTGAAGAAGTGGCTTGGACCTCCTGCAAAGATGAGCTTGTGCTATTTAATGCTGCTGAAGCAAGGCTCTACTTTCACATGGGTCTCAACCTGGCAATGCAGCAGGCCCTGAGGACATCCCAAGTCCCTCTTCTTGGCAAGTCTCTGTTGTCCCACCTACAAGGCTCAGCCATGCAGGGGTGGTGGGTGGGTAGTACTGGCTCTGGTCCTTAGTCCTCACTCATGCCTTAGTCCTTCTATGCCTAAGGGAGCATACCCATCCCAAGGTGACTTGCATTAGAATAGAATCATGGAATCCTTACGGTTGGAAAAGACCTCTAAGATCATCGAGTCCGACTGTTAAGCTTATCACATTTTACATCTCTTGGGTTGATAAGAATTAGGAGCATAACAATCTGTGTTCCAGTGCTGCCTCACTCAAGAGGGGTAGACAGGTCTCAGTACTCATGGAAAACAGCAGCATGGTATAAGGGAAAACTCATGTAACCTTACACATGATCAAGGGTAAGTGGAAACAGCCTGCATCCCTGGATAACTATTGTGAAATCTGATGCTCCAGACAATGAATGGACTCTATTTCTTATTGTCTGAAAAGCCTTCTCCCCACCTCTTTTTTTCTGACACAAGCTCCACCTTCTTGGCAGAATGAACCAAAAACGACAATAGAAGATAAGAGCTTAAGCACTGGTACTAGGCAGATGCTGTCTCAATAAGGTCAGTTGTAACACATCTTAGATTTGTGATCTATCTCCAGGTTTGGAAATCACATCCTTTTTTTTACCTCTGAGTAAAAACACAATGCTCGAAATGGAATTAGGCTGAAGCATAACTGTGAAAACAGCATTTTTTTAATTAAAGCCAGAAATAAGTTCAATGTTTATTCTAAGCACTTGCTTTCACATTTAATAGAATTAACAGATTATTAAAAAAGCCTGAATGCTAAATACCTAAACATTGTTCTAAGCGAATGCAGACCATTTCTCCTATCTAATTAAGACATCAAGCATGTGTGCATTCTATCAAAAAGCGAGAGTGGTATTTCTGCAAGCACATCTATATTGTAAATTACTTTGAAATTAAAATCACAATTTTTCAATTATTGAGTTGCTTCACTAAGTACAGAAATCCTTTTCCTCCACCCACAAGTTTTTCAGCTGAACACTGAGTCCTAGCAAAGTCTTATCAGCCTTTAAGAAGCCTTAGAGCAATTCCTCCCGTTTTCCAAAAAAATAACCGCAAGACTGTATTGGGTGGCACTATAATTAAGAACAGATTAATGTACCAAATAAACTGCACATCTGTTGGTAGGGGCAGGTTGGCCTACAAAAGACTGAAATGTTTCACTCAAAGTACATGGCATGCACTGTGCAGCATTAACAATAAACTGTGTCACCTAATATCTGCAAAGCAGGCATCATGGAAAAACAGTGTACACAATGTTTTTATTTTTGCCTTTTCTACAAGCAAATGGGAGTGAGCATCTTTCACAAAGGAGCACAAGTTGATACTGATTTGAATCTGCTTTGCACCTCACTTTCACTAACAGCTTACACCGTGATAGAGGATCAAACCAAGCAGCTTGTTGTTACCATAACTGTGATTTATTACCAGCCTCCTGAAATATCAGTCTTCTTAATGTTTCAGGTTTCAGAATCAGATTTTCACCTGAGAAATTCTTTACATCTTTGCTAAAAGACCCTTTGGAGTCCAGAATTTTACACTTTTTTGTGTGTGTGTGATATGAATTTAAAATAAGTCTAAGAGATCTAAATCAACTTTGTGTCATCAACTCTGATAATGCAGGAAGAAGAATATATGCAGGGGTGGGACCCAGAGGAGATGGAGAGAATATGTAAAATACTACAGGCCAGAGGCAGGCCTTCTACTCCCAGGCTTCCAGGGTTGCTTCCTATAAAGTTTAACTCCTTGTACCAGAGCAGCCAGTGAGCCTCTTCCCCTGTCCCCACCAGGACATATCCAGCTTCTTTGCAATACATTATACTTTCAGAAAACAAAAATATTTTTTAAAAATTCTTTCTCCTACTCTCATTGCATGACTTTTTTTAGAGTTTCTCCAGTTCACTTGTTCTTGAGCCCACTCGTCCCCTTCACTTTCTGTGAACACACTGTCTCATTTTAGGAACACTGATCATTTTTTCTGCAATAGTTCTAATACAAAATGAGTTAGCTAGCTGTAAATCCTCTTGAGAGAGAGGGCTGAGACCTCCTGGTGATATTTTACATCTATTATGATGCTGAAATATTTGACGAAGGCCATATTTGGGACCTGCTGCAGTCTAGAAGCTTCATTGCAATAATGAATAAGAAATGATGATGTATCAATAGTATTGATAATATTCTTTGGTATTTTTAAGAGAGAAAGACCAACAAAATGAAGAAAATGGAGGCATGAAATAAGTGTGCTACCAGTCATCAGATGAGGCAGGCACAATTCAGTTTCACAATGGCTGTACTAAAACCTTTTCAGTTTGGCATTTTGAAAACACTGAACTTTTTGTATTTGCTTTTCTGTGTTAAAACAGAAGAAGCCTCAGCAGTGCTTCAGTTCAGGTTTTCAATCCAACTGCCACTGACAGTGCTCAAGTTTTTATAGTTGGCATTTTACTTCAAGGCGGACTTGTTTCACTCTGGATT